TTTAGTCATGCCTAACTAGTCGACGCGAGCGGCGAGTGACTCAGTTTCGTGGCTCCAAAAATATGAACATTTGATTGGTTGAAATTGTTTATTTCGGTCCGCCCATTTATCCAAATACGGAATATAAGGTTACGTCAATCTTTTGGCATCCTGGTGCCTGACTTCAGTGTTTTACAAGTCGCTTATTCCGTCTATCTCTAAATTAACTTTCTCGTTGGTGGCGCTGTCCAGAATGAGAAAAATAATTTAAAAAAATAAGAGACTTGTGGCAAGTCTAGACTTGAGTAGGATTTTCTTTGATTTTACCACTCCACAGGTGGGCGTGCCTTAATGAAGAACGACAAATCGAATACGGCCATTGTTAAGCAATGATATGGTAAATCCAACTAGAGAGGGCAGCAGACACCTTTTCTGGAACATCAGACAGTAAATTCCAGCCAGATAGTTTTAATAACAAAATGACACTTTGTGTTTTTATTGAATACAGCCTTGGCTATAATACATTGATATAATATGAAGTAATAATATTATTGTTTTTCCTACCTTTGCAATGCCCATCAACCTCATCATAACCCATAAAACAATCGCAATCGTAGCTTCCTTCAGTGTTTATGCAAAGCTGATGACACCCACCATTGTTGTTAGTACATTCATTGATGTCTTAGAGAATAAGAATGATAAACATAATTACAAAGTACTATATCGATGGTGGAAAAAAATTAAAAAGCAGGTCTAGGCTACTACTACTATGTTCAATACTAGAGTAATTGTTCTAGATTGTCATATTTAGCCATAGATAAAATGCCCTTCTGTCTTGTTTAAATATTTTTATTGCAATACCATAGTAATAAATACGAACATATTCCTTATAACAACCTGGCCTAGTCATATGCAATTAACAAAACATATAATATAATATTTTTTTCAGTTAATGCATCTTGATTACGATTAATATCAGCATCAACGTTTTCAGTTCCTTTGAGTCCCGAATCAGCATTTTTTCGTGCTTTTTTCAGTTCCGCAAAAAGTTGAACATGGGCAACTGAAAGGATCTAAACTCAACTCAACTTGAATCATGTCAACAAGTATGCACGGCCGTCAGTTCCGTTAACTGTACTTTTCAGTTGCGCGGAGCGCTCATGTCGACGAGCTGAGTTGAGTTCCGTGTCAACCTGTGCCTGCCTTACAATCATCAGCAGTAGACTAATTACCACATGCCTTGGGTATATAAGTCAAACGATAGAAAAATATACAATGCAACATACCATTACACTGTGGTCCTTCGAAGCCAACATGGCACGAACAGGTGTTAGGCGAAGATACACAAGTACCACCAGGTCCACAATCTGGTACACAATTTCCTGATAAAATATATTCAATTAAAGAGTGTTACTGACAGAAATACACATGCATTATTTATGTTATATCTGTTTTATGTTATACGAAGAGCAGTATACAGTAATGTGGATAAAAAAAAATTGGAATAACGTAAGTAACAACAGCAAGTGAGGGGAACCAAAGCAATGGGGTAGCCCCTTACTCTTCTGAAAGTTATAGTTCTTTAAATTGCACTTAAGAGAGATGTGTAGTGAGAAACTCTCTCTCACTTTTTTTTTTTGACAGTATACATTATAATTTTTTGTAAAGCGCATTGAGATGTTGTTTGATATGTTTGTGCTATATAAGAATATTATTATTATAATACATGCAGAAAGACAGACATGGTCGTGAATAGTTAACCTCCTTGGCGGAGGTAATTATTGGTTATGAAATACACAGCAGTATGTATTTTGGAGGGGAGGGGCCAGTGGTGCGAAGCAGTGGCGGGTCTAGGATATAATTTATGGGGGTCAAAGATGTCCGTCTGGGGGGGGGGGAAGAACTAAGTATTTATGGATGTAACTATAGCACGCAAAGTCATCTGAGAGCCTAGGGGTGGGTATGGGAGGGGGGTGCCTTCCTCCCAAAACAGGATTTTTAAAAACAATTTGGACTAAATGGTCGGAAATGGCTGGGATTGGAAAACTAGGCCTATTATTTTTTTTTTGGTCGATGGGTGTGGGAGGGCCCTAACCAGACCGATGGGGGACTTAAGACCTCCTGCCCCCCCCCCCCCCCCCCCCCCCCCCCCCCGCTGGCGCCGCCACTGGCGCAAAAGTTGAGTAGGTCGTGGGGTTCGATGAATAAGTAAGGGGGTGCTAGTCGCATAATAAGGTGATTTTTAACTACTTGTTCGTGATTGGCTTCGTTCATTTTTCAAATGGGAAGAACGAATGGGATGCGAGTTTTTTGTTTTGTATTGATTTTGTTTGTGTTTTTTTTTGAAGTCATCACATAGCCACTGCAGGTATCTAAAATTGGATCCACTGGAGCAGAGTATTTAATAAATAATAATAATAATAATAATAATAATAATAATAATAATAATAATAATAATAATAATAATAATAATAATTATAATAATAATAATAATAACCGCAA